CATAGCACTCTCGGCGAGGTGAGTGGCTGGTGCCAGCCACATCTTGGCTGACGCACTAATTAGGGAGAAGAGGAATCACCTATTAGGAATCCTCAAGAATATATAGTTCTTTAGATTTAAAAAATGCTAAAGAGTTGCAAGAGTAGCTGAGAATAATTCCAACTATGTTGCCATCAAAGCAGAAGTCCAGACGAAGGATTTATTTCATAGCAAATACAAAGATTCAGAATATCAACTCTGAGGCAGTTCTACCTCCACTAATGCCACATCAGGTTTACGGTGATAAAATGGCTGACCAAAAAAAGCCAGTCCTTCCTAGATTAGGCTATCTGCTTTCATCATCTTTCTTCAACTGGAGGAAACTCAAGAGAATGCCAGCTTCCCTCTCTTTTGACTCAGCCACCCACAACTCAACTCCCTATTCCAGTTTACATAGTCAGCTCCTCCTGTCTGGCAATTATCTGTTGGTCCAAGCATTCTAAAGCTTCTAATTTCTCTCTTGTTCTTATCACATGCAAGGTTTATAAATGTTTTTATCTTCATTATGCACATCTTGTTTCACAGCAGGAATATTTGGACAACCATTTAAGATATTCATTCTACCTCTATGTTCCTTAACTGATCGAGGGTTTAGGCAAGATGGCCTGCATAACCTTTCCTGTCTGTATTATCGTGTGTGTTTTTTTTCCCCCAAAGCATCCAAGGTCTTGCCCTGGTAACAAAACTACAAGTCAGCATTACTGGATCCATAAGCCTCGTACAGCTGAGGAAGTCATAGGGAATGTTCTGTGCTACAGCTGGAAAGCCCACTTCTGCATAATAAACATGTTAATATTAACCTGCAAAAACAAACAAACAAACAAAAAAGGGGGGGGTAGGCAGAAAGATAGACAATTCACCACCCTTCTCCTCCCAAACCAAAGTAAATATACTGTACACACATCCAGGAATGCCTAGAAGCTTTGTTGGTTCCCAAATTTCATTTTGTACTTTTAAGATTATGGTAGACATGTCAAGCATCTTCGAGACACTCACAGCCTGCACCTGTGGATGGATCCCGGTGTTTGGATAGAGCTGAATATGTTTAGCAGATTGAAGTGTATAAGGTTATCAAATCAGGTTTAAGTTCCAGGCTCTTTTTGGTGATTTTAAAGTGAACTTTGGAAAAAGTAAAGTGCTTTCCATTCTATAGCTTCCAGGAAAGCATGCAAGTGAAGAAGTAGGTGGAAACACTATTATAATGCAAAAGAACAAACTGTTCGCATATCGCTTGAAACTATAAAACACTTGAGGCCTCGTGCATTTTTATTAGTAGTAGTATTTGTGGCTCTGCTGCTGTTTAATATTTATTGCTAAAAATGCTGGGGTCTCAGTACACCTTTATGTCTGTGTAGACGGAAAGCATCATAAACCAAAATTTAAGAGGATATCAGAATGTCCCTTTATTATTCAACCAATTGTCACTAAGCCTCTAAGGTGACTGATCATGTGGCCTTCAATCCAAAATAAAACTAGCTCCATCCTGAAGGTATAGATGATCTGTTTCCGCAGAAACAGGAGGCTGCATCGCCTAACATGTGGATCATCTCCTCAATGTTATTCCTTCATTTATGTAAACCTCAGGGTTTAAATAAAGTTTTACAGCTGGGAGATTTTCATTTCTCCACACGAAACATTTTCAAAAGAAATAGATACTGTTCATTAGGACTAAATCTAAAATATTTATAGATATGAAAATAGACTACTTTCTAGACATAGTAATTTCATGCCTCTCTTTTTTTTTCTTTTTCTATTTCTCACAACTTTTGAGTGGAGCTAAAAGGCCAGATTAATCAAAGGGATAATGGGCAGAAATTCTTTCATGCACATATTTGAAGAGCAGTAGGTGGGAATGGGCTAATTTGCATGTCATTACACAGACTAGTTACAGCTAAGGAAGGCAAGCACAAAACCTCTGTACCTAGTTTGCTTTTTCTTAGTAAGGCGCCAGATTCTGAAGGAGTGAGGAAAGCGTCTCAGAGGCTGGACATACAGGACTTTATGCCACTCTGGAGCCCCTGCTGGAATGGTTGGGCGTGACTACACAGCATTCTTGTTAGAGCATGCCATCCCATCCATCCTTAATGCAATCACAAAAACAGGGGTGGAGCCTACTGTTTTATTTGGAATGATTAGGGTAAATAAACATGGTTTTCTTGCTGTGTGATTGCCTAGAATTGTTCCAGTGTGGGGTTGGGTGGTGTGTTCTTCTCACATGTGATGTGTAGCAGTGGGTGTGGTCTGGGTGTGACTGCAGATGGCGCCCTCCATCCAATTTTGAAGTGAAAAAGAGCATTTTTGTTCTAATATTTTTATCTTAAAAAATTATTTTCCATTACTGCGCTGCATCACTTGAGCACTATGCCACTTACCAAAATTTAATTTTTTTAAAGGATAAAAGAGGAAACATAGAGCTGAAACAGGGAGCTCCATCCCCTCCCCTCTTTGTGTGCATAAAAGCCCAACATTAATGTCCATCCACAAGCAAACAGAAGGAAGCTGTTTCCCAACCAGCAGACAGCTGTTGCAAAAGAGGAGGGAGGAGGCAGGGAGAGAGAAGGAGAAGGGCACTTGGCAACCAAACAGACCGAAACAAAGTGATCTAACACAACCATGTGGTTGACTTGACTAGATCACAGCAATAGCGGCTGCGGGAGTGATTTCCATGTGACTAGTAGTGCACTAATCAAGCCCTGCTGTTCCAGACCATTCCAAAGTGATTGCTAGATTCCTCTCTCTGTCGCTAATGTAGACGTGCCCTCCGTATAGTGTGCTGGGCTCATGGCAGAGCAGTTCTTTTCTGTACTGCCACTTCTGTACCAGCTGGAGATACAGACTGAATGGAGGTTGCTTCCTTTTCATGTGTACTAAAGGGAAAGGCAGAAGGTAAATTGTACGCCATGCCATGGACATAATGCACAGGAAAGACAGACACACACACACATGTACAGGAGTTTATGCCACTCTTGTGAATCTTTGAAAGGCAAATGTGCTTTGAATTTTCCTCCATTTCTTTAGGCTCGTGGCAGAGGAACAGGATTGGTTCAGGAGCCAAGATCCAGAGGTGTACTTTGTACCCAGTGATAGCTGAGTTGGGAAAGTCTTCCCCTCTTCCTCCTTGTACAGACCTTTTCTCCTCCTCCTCCTCCTCTTTCCCTTCTCTCTCTTTTTTATTGTTGTTGGGTGGAAGCAATGAGGTCCTGCAGAGTTACACTACTGGATCCTCTCTATGGTGGTGGTGGTGGTGGTGATGTTTATTATTGTGTCTTTGCCACTGTAGATGAACTAAAATGTGGCCATCTCCTGATCAGCAGAACAGCAGGACATTAAAAGTGAAGAGATAGCTGGAACTCTCTTTTCTTATTTTCATTTTGGATGCCTGCCACTTCTTTGTTCCTCTCCTTTTGCAGTTCTGGCTCTGCCCTGGGCAGCTGCCAGAGATTTTTTTTTTTAAAGAAAGCTCTCAATCCCACATTCCTCGGAATGGAAGAGAGGGCAGCTTGGCCAGTGAGCTGCTCATGCTCGTTTTCTCTAGAAATGAAGACGACTGACCGACTGTTCTATCTGCCAAGCCTTTACATCGCTCAGGCAGGCTCACCCTCAGGGGTTCCTGAGCATGCTTCTGTGTGACTGGACCAGACAAGTCAAATCTCTGCCAGCTGTTTCAAACCATGAAAGCTGTTTCAAAAATAGCTAGGTAGAGCTCAGAGCTTGGAAAAGTTATTTTTAGGGGTTAAAGTTCCCAGAATCTGACCGTCAGCCTGGACTTCAGGCCGTCAGCCTGGACTTTTCCAAGTTTTCCAAATTCTGAGCAAGTGTTGCATTGAGGTAAGTGATGCAAGAAGAACCAGAGGCTGTCCCCTGCGAAGTGAACCTGTTAGTCCATGCCCAGCGAGGTTTAAGTTATGTGCTTGTTATATTATGTGCCGTTAAGGGAGAACTGACTCATAGCGCCCCTAACAGGGCTTTCATGGTATGTGAGATATTTAAGGAGTGGTCTTAACCAGTTCCACATGCTCCCAGCCCCAGTGAGTTCCTATAGTAGCTGAGCAAGGAGCTAAACTCAGGTCTTCCGACTCCTAGTCTATCACTCTATCCGTTACAATACATTGTGTAGTGATCCACAGCACTTTAAAGGTAAGTGAAGGTTCTGGACAGGAGTTTCAGATAGATCTGGGAGCTCAGATCTGTCTGTCTGTCTGTCTATTCCCCAAAGCCATATGCTCTGCCAAAGCTAGAATACTGCTGCTGTTGTTTCAATTTCTATGCCACCCCACAATGCTAAAGCATTCTCTGGGCAGTTTACAACATAATTATGGAAACTACATTTTGCCTCCCCTCCCAGCGAGCTGGGTGCTCATTTTACTGACTTCAGAAGGATAGAAGACTGAGTCAACCTTGAACCAGGCCCTGAATCTGTTGGGATCAAATTCAGGTTGTGAGCAGAGGCTCGACTGCAGCGCTGCACTTTAGCTGCTGCGCCATGGGACTCAAATGTTTTCTTAAAGCTACATCTCTTCAGCTGCCTCCTGTTTTCTTTCCGTTTGTTAACTAGAAGGAACCTCTGAAATGATGTAATCCAAATATGTGGCATTGCAACCTGTTGCTATAAATGCCCCCCCCCGACCAAAAACAAAAACTTCACCATGATTCCAGTGCACTAGTAAATAACTAGCCTACGAAAACTCTGCAGCTAGACTTGTTTGCAACAGAATTGGCATCTTTGTGGAAGAAGCTTCCCTGGTTACTGTTTTCAGTGGGGGAAAAAACTTCCATTTCTCCAGTCTTTAAATTTAATTTTCATTGGAATAAAGTGGCCTTTTAAAATACAATAATAGCTTTCTCTGCTACCCAGAATGGCTGCTTTTAAAGCGAAGCAGAAGATGGCATTTTGCTTAGAGTAAATGTGACAAGAATTTATCTGTCTTTAATGCTCCTCATAGGGATGTACCAAGGCCTGTGAATTTTTGCAGGATAAATTTTTATGTTCAAATATTAATGCAAATTGTTCTTTTCATGCTCCTGTAATTTTCAATTTATATGTCAGAGACTGTTTGCTGCTGAAAATTCAATGTCGTTTTATACATAGGCACATCACTTTAGCGGTCTGTTGCTTTGAATCCATGCAGGTCAGGGATCCAATCGAAATGTGTGCCTGTTACATGTGATGTGTATGTTGGGCCCTTGGAAGTCATCCTGGAATAGAAAAGAAAGCATGGCTTAGAGCATAGGTTCCCAAACTTTTTTGCCCCGTAGACCACATGCCAACTTATTTGTTTTCCGTAGACCCCCTATGCAATCGTAACGACTACAAAGTATATATAAAATTTTGTACTTACTTTTCTTAGGCACTCCTAAAGATGATTTTGATTCACTTGAGCTTTACCTGTTTTCTATCTATATTTTTGAACGTATTTTTAAGCCACTTTTCTTCTCAAAACTCAGAAAGCACCTGAATGTCTCTAACACTCCTATTTATCAATTTTGAATCAAACAAGTCCGTGCAAAGCTTTGATACAAGTCTAAACAAGTATGTACGCATGCCATGTTTGTTCCCGTATACAGTAGCTCAGTAATGAGAAATGACAAAATGTTGTCAATCCCATTTACAACACCCCGACATTTACCATAAAATTTTACCAATAATTTTGGTATGAACTTACACCTGAATGTAGCAGACCACAATACAGATAGTACATAGTACCTAATTAAATAATATTATGTACACAGAATCTGTGTTTGGTGTAATTACAGATCGCCTAAATATTTATTATGATCTGCCTAATGGGATCTGCTCTAATAGACCCCCATTTACATCTTGTGCACCCCCAATTTTTTCTCTCTCTCTCTGGTGTGGACCCCCTGCAAGTCAAAATCGACCCCTGTGGGACCATGTACATCACTTTGGGAACCTATGGCCTAGAGCAAAGTGTTACTGGTGGGTCCATTTTAGACCAGTTTGGAAACCTATGGCCTAGAGCAAAGTGTTACTGGTTGGGATTACAGTCCACAGAATGCACTAACCAGCACCCAGCATCTCCAGACAGGGCTACAAAAGACCCTTGTCTCATACCCTACTATTCTTTGTAGACAACACTGAGTAGGTGGGACCAATGGCGTATGGCTTGATGTGAGGGAGCTCCCTAGGTTCATGGAAGAACATATTTTTGAATTTCACCTGAGAAGTAATAAGCAAGGAGTTGAGAAGTATAATGATTAAAATGTAATTTTTTAAACGGATTTGAGTCTCACCACTGACTGCAGTCCTCGAAACTGCTCATGTAATATTTGAAATGCCACAAAATATTCTAAGCAACATTTTTAAAACCAAGCTAGCAGGTGCGTGGCGTTTTCTCTGCCTTTCTTTTTTCCTTCTCAAAGGTGGTACATAGAGCTGTGGTGGGCCACTTTGGCCAACTTCCACAGAGCGCGGAAGAGGTGGAAACGGCACAAGGGATAAGTAGAACACGGTATTTTCAGTCTCTCATAGGAAGCGTGCAAATTCCCCCTGTCTTGAATTAATTCTTTTCTTTTCTTTTTGAGCTGGGAGTGGGCTTGCAAACCTATTTTAGATGCTTGGAAATCCATACTAACTTTGAAAAAAAGAAAAAAAACAACATATATACAAGATGGCTGTTGGATACCACATATTTTAGAATTCAGAGATACACCTCAAGCATACAGGAGAGTTTTGAAGAAAGAGAAAGCAACTAGAGAATAATCAGATAGAAAGAAATAACGCTTTGCCTCATAGTATTTGTTCAAATACCGAGAAAGAGAGAGAGAGAAAAGGCCTAATGTAAAGTTTGAAATATTTCTGCGTCCTTTTCAATTTCCAGAGCATCTCTTAGAGTCTTCAATCTTAAGAAAATTAAAACAACAATGAAGCAATAATTAATAACTAAACATAAACTCTCCAGATTAAAGTGGCTAAAAAGTATAAAATACAAAAACAGGATTTAAAAAACAACAGCCTAAAAGAAGCAGAATAATACCAGTTAACATAAAATGTTTCTGAGCACTGTCATAAAAGCTAACTAAATGCCTAGGTTGAAGCATGTTCTAAAAATATTGAATCTGCGTTTAAAACATGACAGGAAATGCATCTACTGAATCTCTTTAAGAGGAGCCTTCCATACCTGCAGTATCACTTCACTGACCAAAAGATCATCTCCGTGTTTATCATTGGAAGGCAGAGGTAAAAAGAGAAGAACCATTGATGCCACTCTCAGTTCTCAGGATATGGATGGTTCATTAAAAAAGGGCTGTTACAGTCACCTGGTCCCCAGCTGTGAGAGGCTTTAGACATCTGTTGACACAAGAGGAACATTTGTGACTCCTTGCAACTCAGAGGCATCGTGGAAATTGCCATCATGATGTCTTGGTCTTTCTAGCTATAACAGTGAACCATAAATCAAATCGAACAGTACCTGTTCCTTAGGTGTGCATGGAAGGGAACAAGAATGACCTGCCTGCCTTTCCCACCCACTGCACAGGCCATCTCTCCAGGTTGAAGTACAGTAGTCAGTTATTGAGTTTGATTCTGGAATTTGCTGGTGCAAAATCGATCTCTATGTGTTGGATCGACATTTCTGTCCCAAGGGAATGTTGGGAAGTGGAGCAGGTGGGAAGGCAGAACAAGTTTATTGTCATTCCTTCTCTGGTTAAGGTAGTTTTCACAGCATCTTCAGACCATAGTTTCATGTCCTGTTTTGCAGCCATCTTTGAAGCTTAAGAGTCGAAACACTTACCTGCAGCTTGGGAAAACAAACAAATTCAGCCTTGAAATCTACATGGAACCATGATCTTTTGCTTTACTCATGACTAGAGAATTTGCCAAACTAATACTTTATCCAATGAAACAAATGTATTTAATGAAAACATACGAGATAAGCCATGAATCTATAAGACAACATATGAAATTCTAACTTTGCCTGTAGGTTAAACTCGCTCTCTCTCCCCTCCCCTTTTCCCCCCTACACCATTCCACGTTTTTGCTACTGCAATGCTTATAATTATTCTAACTGGCAAGATGACCACGGTGTCTGGACTGGGGGCAATAAAGGAAACAAGATCATTGCATGAAACATGAGCTGTCTGTAGTTCTTCTGTTATGCAGAGTAATCCTTGAGTGAAATGAGAATACGGCTAAATTAAATCACCATTCAAAGTATTGAAATGCTCTATTTTTATTTTCATACCATCTGGCACCTTTGTTTATACAAGCCAGCATTATACATAATTTTCCTAGTGATCAGGGATGGAATGCTACACAAGACTTTATGCTACACAATATTAAAAGAATTCTGTTATAAATGGTGTAATTTCTAGCAATCTGGTGTTAAGAAAGGAAGTCAGTACATAAATAAATTTAGAGTACAAAAGAGTGGTTCATGTCTAGAGCCAATAGCAGCATCTGAGAATAACTTCTTGGAAGATTCACAATAGACAACACCTTATGCTTTGTAGGCAGCCCTTCTAATTCAGATTACTAAATATAAAGTACAGTGGTGCCTTGCACAACGGGCGCCTCGTAGAGCGACAAATTCGCTCTACGAGGCCGGTTTGCGATCGCAAATGCAATCGCAAAACGGTGCCTGCATAGGGCGAAAATCGCAGAGAGAAGGTCGGTAAGTGGTTCAGCTGTTCGACGGCTACAAAATGGCCGCCGGAAGCCCCAAAATGGCCGCGCGCAGCATTTTCGCGCCCTCGTAAAGCAAGGGGAGGGGGCGAAAATGGCTGCCGCCCATCCTGAAGCATCGCTGAACAGTGAGTATTCGGCCCAATTGGAACGCATTAAACCATGTTTAATGCGTTCCAATGGGTTTTTACGTTCCGTTCAACGATGCTTTCACACAGCGAGGGTTAATCCGGAACGGATTAACCTCGCTGTGCCGTATATATATTTCAGTCTGAGGCATGTTTACATTAGGTTGGTACTCTTTCTTTATCTGAGTCAGAAGGGCCACAACAGAGTTAATAGAATGCAATAAAAATTAGGCAGTAGGCTTCATCTATATAAACACACACTTAAAATATAAACTAGTTTACCCCCCCCAAAAAAAAGCTTGGGGCAGCTATCATCATGTCTTCTGTGGTACCTGTTGAAGGACATAGAGGACACTTACATAGTTGTGACATTGTCTGTTCTTCTCCATACTTGCAAGGGACTGTCCTGGCACAAAAATTCCATTTTCTTAGTTCATCTTGGTTCTGCCAACTCCAGTCTATAGCCTGTTAAATGATTTCCAAGTAATGCAGTTCTCTGTATGGCTGGGGCTTAAACGTTTGTGGTGTTCCAGCCATTTAAAGAGGTGGGCAATTCTTTCTACATTGTAGTCCTGGCATTTTCTTCAAAATTCACAGTTGCTCTTTAAAAGGAAGGGGGGGCATTTTTTTTCTTGAATTTAATTTGGAAGGATGGTAGCTGAAGAGCGCATGTGCATTTGATGTGGATGCTTTCAGTCTTTCACGATTTATATATCACTGGGTCCCATGCCATTCCTCCTAGGCAATTGGCGTTATCAATAGGGGTTGACTCTACAATGATTTTACAGCTTTCATTGAGTGTTATGTGTCCCTCTTTTGCGTGGGCTGAAATATACCACACTGGGCCGGCATATTTGCTTGTGGAGTAGCATTAAGCCTAGGCAGCCGTTCTTAGGGTTTTTTGTTGTGTGGCTAACTTTCAAAAAATATTGTTCTTTGTGCAGACTTTTGCTTCGTATTTTGACAGCATTCCATACAATTCAAAGTATTTGAGGGTAAAACAATGATCTAGTTGGATGCCCTTCCAGGCGGCCTGACATCTCCAAGGTGCCTGCTTGCTTCCCCAGTGAAATACGTATATATATTTCAGTCTCAGCAGGATAGAATTTATGTTGGTTTTTATCATAATACATACTCAGGTCTCCTAATGCACCTGTTAAGAGATGTTCTGACATCTAACATTGTCCAAACTAAGCAGGAAGTGTGAAACTAACATCCAGAAGCACCATTATAAGGTTGGCAGTTAGTTTTATCATTCCTTCTATTTCCTGGATTCAGAGGCAAGTGTCGTTGCTCATGTGGACAAAAAAAAAAACACTATCCAGATGCAAGAGAAAAGGTGTCTGCAGTTCAGAGAACACCAATGCTGTGCAGAAGTACAAAAAGACTTTAAGGAGTACAATATTTTATGGGCATCGTAGCCCAAAAACAGTTCAGTGAGTAACTGATCTTGCTCAGGAGTTGTGGAATGCTGGATGATGATTTGCTGAGGAAGCAAAAACCTGGGGTTGAGGAAGACTGGGATGAAGGGACAGAATACCTGAACAGGAGTACCTCATGCTGCAACTTTTTGTTGCAGGCCCCAGTTGCAAGAATGATAGGGATGTGCAGATGAAAAATTTCATTTTCTTTCACTTTCATATGCTTTGTCTGTACTAGTCCTTTTATATTTAAACAAAAGAAGCCTCTTCTGGGCTTCCCATTCATGTTTTTAGGCGCTCCGAAAACCTTAAAGAACCCTTGGAAACTGCTCCATTAAAAAAAAAATGCAAGGCAACAGAGAATGAACCTAACTCCAAAAAGCATGCAACAATGCAAAAGAAAGAAAAAAATTATTGTCAGACCTACGCAGCGTTAGGCTATATTGCAACATGCACACCGTCCATATTGGCACAGTCACGAAGTCCACTGTGACCCACAGAAGCAAATAAAACAGTTCCCCCCAAAACCCACCAGACACTTTTAACAGAGTGAACACACAGTAAATTAACCAAGTACTGTAGCATTTTTAAAATCAAACTAGGAAAGCATCCTGCACATAAAAACACAGGGCAAAAAAAATGGCAAAATAAAATACATGATTGCAGTCTCCTCTCCCCAAAATCAAGAAAAGCAAAGCGAGCGAGCAAAAGCAAAAAACATAATCAATACCCTTATCCAAACCAACACTACGAGGTTATGGGGAGATTTCACTCCCTCTCACCCACCACCTCTTCATGCCTTCTCAGGCAGCAGCAAAGATAACCCAAAGAAACAAGAACCAGGAACGAAGAAGGGAGAAACGTCTCCAAAGAAATCTGGGTAGGTGTTTTTTTTTCTTTTCAAAAAATACTTCCAAGGAGATACACTGGCACAGGTGGGGTACCTGTCAACAGCACAAATGACTTGTAGAAGGGGCCGCCTGCCTGCCTGCCTGCCTGCCTGCCTTTTGCCTTTTTAAAGAACTTTCTTTTGACCTGGATGCAGGCAACTATTCTGCTACGCATTATGTTTTCCTGTTCAGGTTTTTACATGTATACCTTCAGAATATACTAAAGGGGCAGTAAGGTGGTGCCTCGCTAGACAGTTACCCCACATGACAGTTTTTTTGCTAGACATTGGCTTTTTGTGATCGCTATAGCGATTCGCAAAACAGTGATTCCTATGGGGGAATTTCGCTGGACAATGTTTGGTCCCTGCTTCGCAAACTGATTTTTGGTAGACAATGATTTTGACAGCTCCCTCCGTGCTCGCAAAATGGGTGTTTTTGGGACCTAAGCGTTGCAAGACAGCGATTTAAACAGCTGATTGGCGGTTCACAAAGCAGCTTTCCTATGGCCGATCTTTGCTAGACAATGACGATTCTTCCC